ATGATGACTCAAAGTTATTAAATCTAATTTAGTAATAATAATAAGAGTTATAATAATATCCACATATGACAATGCCACCCTTATTCCAAGTACACCTCTCCTTGATATGCCACCCTTATTCCTCCATCAAAAACAAGACTACTTATCAGAACAGACATAAGTCACCACATCTGAAAGTACCCATTCCCAGTTCCAAGCCAGAACAGACAAAAGTCACCACGTCTGGGGAACTACTATTTAAAACAATGTTTCATACCAAAACAGACTTATGTCACCACGCTTGGTGGAAACAATTTACAAAATCCACTTCTATACCAAAACAGACTTACGTCACCACGCTTGGTAGAAAGGTTTCCCAAAATATAGTTTCGTACCAAAACAGACTTACATCACCACGCTTGGTAAAAACATAACTTTATTTAAAAAGGTTATAAAAATACCCATTTTTTATAATCCACAATTAATCCCAATAATAGACATTTTAAATCATATAAAAAGTCTAAACATAAAACTTATGAAAATTCCAATTAAAAAGATATCCGGATAAAATATCGATTAAAGCTTATCCGGTTTAACATTTAAAATAATTTCTAACATATTTGTCCAGATAATAAATCCGGTCAATACCCCGCATAAAGCTTGAACGATTAAACACTTATAAATAAAATCATCTTTGTCCGGATATCAAGTCCGGTCAATAATTCACTCACCACTTTAATCGATATAAAAGAATCCGGACAATACCCCGTTCAAGGCTTGTCCGATTTAAAACAATCCGGACAACACTCCTTTCAAAGCTTGTCTGATATAAAACAATCCGGACAACACTCCGTTTAAAGCTTGTCCGGTTTATCATCCGGATAAACACTTAAAGCAAAAGACTGGTTTCTTTCCAAAACTAAACAAGATTCATATAAAACCTAATAACAAATTAATATAAAAGAGTTTAGAAAACCACTCACCTTATAAAGCTTTTGAGAACCAACACTTGAATCTTTTCCAAACAAGATATCCGGTCACTTTACTTCTTTTAAACCGCACAAAATTGAACAAAGAGGCAAGCAGCCAAGAATGGAGGCTGAAACCCCCTTTTTATAGCTTCCCAAAATGGAAAGTCGGTTACCTTACAAGGCCACATGTATGCATATAAATCTTCATATACACGTATGTATATATTTACTAACACATACATGCAAAGGTCACGTGTATGCATATAAATCTTCATATACACCTATGCATATATTTACTAACACATACATGCAAAGGCCACGTGTATGCATATAAATCTTCATGTACACCTATGCATATATTTACTAACACANTGCATATATTTACTAACACATACATGCAAAGGCCACGTGTATGCATATAAATCTTCATGTACACCTATGCATATATTTACTAACACATACATGCATACATTTACATGCATACACATAAACACATATCATATGCATATATTATGCACATAATTTTTATATACCAACTTATCATGTAGTCACAAAATCATTAAATCATATAATCATGTATTATTTACCTTTGGTGATAATCAGGATTCGGTTATCACAAGTGAATCCGCAAATGAACGAGGTTACAAATATAAACTTCAAAACATAAAATTATGACAATAATTCAAGAATAATTCAAAAATTATTACCTAACAACTGAGTGCGACAGATAACATGTCAAATCG